GTGTTGTTAGGAATATTCGAGTATTCAATAAATATTCGTTCGAGAGTTAGAATTAGTTGACGCATTTCTTTGGAAGACACGTTAGTCAAACAAGTGGACAAATCCCTAGCAATAATGAAAAAAAAAAACAGCCTTTTAGGAGCTTTTACGGAACTGGGTTAAAAAAAAGTAGGTTAAAAAACGTATTATAGTAGGCTTTGACTGAGCGTTGAGCACTGGGGCCTTTTTGCTCCATAATTGGTAACATTTACCGACAATTTATGGGACCCATGAGCAGTGCGAACAGGTTGTCGCTAGCCTCTTAATGTGCGATTAGTTCCAAAACGTTGAATGAATTTCCTTTCAACTGACGGGTAACGTTAAGCAAAGTGTTTAATTAAACCTCATTATAATGTTTCGCATCATGTAATGATACAATTATGCCCATAACTTTCCAAATGTAGGTAAATTAAAACAAATAGGATCAATTAAACCAAAATTGAAGAGACACATAACTTAAATGTTAGTGCAAATGGATTCTGCCGGGTTCTATGGGAGCCGTGGCGCCCCCTTCAGGGCTAGGGCAAGGGGGCGGCTGGCCCGGTGCCCAGAAAAGGGATCAGTTTGGTCGGGCGACGACAGCCGACGCTTCGGTCACGTGGCGGTCTCGTATCGACCGCAGTCCCTTGCAGACACTTGGTCTGGGCACACGACTCCTGCGTGTCGGGATAACCCAAACAATTAAAAATCAATCGCTGAAACAGCTGACTCGATACGAGTTTAGGATTGAATATTCTGTACAACTGAAGGTCTTTGCAATGCTTAAAATTTTTCATGGTTAAGAACATTAAGAGAAATTAGGAACTGCTGTCGTCGTTGGTTTTGGGCTTTCAAACGGGCGCAAAAATAGCAGGCGTCACTCAGCAAAGCTATGCTCACTTGCTCAGACAAAAAAAAAACAGTTCACTGTTCTCACCAGACTTTTCAACGAACAAAAACGTAGTGGGAGAGAGTTCCCATCGAAAAAATAGAGAATGGGTAGATCTAGCTATCAAGATTCCCAATATAAGAAGCTTCTTCTTCAAACAATAAGAACGTAATGTAACAGAGATACTACCAGCAAGTTAAGGCTTAGAACCTCAATACGGTATTGGCCGATAACCGCCAAAGCCACTAGGTCTTTAAAATCAAGTCCATGTCGAGCTCAAGACAAGAAAAAACTCTTTTATAACTCAATATCCTGGATTATCGCTCATCCTTAATATAAAAAGCATATACTTCAACTGCCAGATAAATATTTGCATAAAATTCAACAGTTAAACAAAGAAAATGTCGAAGGATAATCAAAAAGTACAATTAATCAATTAATTGAAGCCAAGAATTCAATGTCATGTAGCAACAATCTGCAGGCTCCGGTGCCAGGGTGCGATGTCCTGGCGCCTTTAAGGGGAGCGTCTCCCTAAAAATTTATCTCAGTAATTTACAGAGGGATCAATCTGAAATTTGGTACACATATGTAAAACAGAATTCTAAGACATTTTTGTTCATGTGATTTTTTCGTCACAGGCAGCTATAGCGGTCACGACGTCGGGTTTTAGAGGCGCACTGATAAACACACTACTTCTCTCACGACCGCTGTCGATGCACTGAGCTTGCGGTACCGGCTTGCTTCTGTTGGCTGGTGTACGAGAACCAGACGACGTATAGAGACAAGTTTAGTCTCGTTAGAAGCGTAATTTTCTAAGCTTTAAAATGAGTGTAAAAACCAAAAAAGTGAAAATTTTCGATTTTTCGGGAGACGCTCCCCTTAATATCTGCGCCCGGCCACCGCAGGCTTGGGATCGATGGATGCGAGGGCAGGCGGTATACCGTATAGGATACAAGCGGACATTCGTTGTATCCAGGCTACGTGAAGAACATTTGGGTTCATTCAATTAACTTAACGTTCGGGGGCATTTTATAATTACTTCGCTGCGCGGCGGTGTCATTCTTTAATTTGCTTGAATTTTGCGAGCACGATTAACTAACAGAAAGTTTTCACTGTGCGCACATATTATGAAAAACAGAGGTCACCGACATATTTACGTGGTCGCTGGCACAAATCGGGCAATCTTTTTTCATGAAGTTTGAATTCTCTCAGTTGTTTCATGATCTAATTATATTCATTATTCTATTAGCTGTTTCATGATCTCCTTACAGTCATTAATTCTATTAGCTGCTTCATGATCTCCTTATATTCATTATTCTATTAGCTGTTTCATGATCTCCTTACAGTCATTAATTCTATTAGCTGCTTCATGATTATATTCATTATTCTATTAGCTGTTTCATGATCTCCTTACAGTCATTAATTCTATTAGCTGCTTCATGATCTCCTTATATTCATTATTCTATTAGCTGTTTCATGATCTCCTTACAGTCATTAATTCTATTAGCTGATTCCTAATGTCCTATGAGATGCACTGACCAGACGCACGCACAGAAATGCGACAAACAATGCAAGGAGTCAATGCACAGCCCGGAGGGCACAGCAGTTAATGAGTTGTTAGCACGCGCCCCCACCTGAACACCGTTTCTGGACCCCATAACCATTACCTATGGACCCCATAACGCCTCTGCATGGTAGTATCATTTCCATGATACCAGAGGCGTTCGTCTCAACCTTCCACCGGTCCGTTTAGAAATAGAGAAAAATGGTACTGTTTTTAATTGTGTAAAACATTTTAATGAACTGCCTGATGATTTCAGAATTAACTGTTCTAAATCCATTTTAAAGACAAAATTTCGTGATCATATTCTTGCTGAATATTAATTTAATTTTGTTTATCATAAAGTTTTTTTCTTGTGACAATTTACTTATGTACTGCCTTTACTTTAGAATGTAATATTTGCATTAATTTTCGTTGTACTTGTTGCCACTATTACGTTCATACTCGTCACCTATTACGCCTGCGAAGCTTTTTTATAGCTTGTATGGGCTTTTCACCTGGAAGCCTTTATTACCAGATAGCATGTTTTTTTCTTTCTTTCTATTGAGTCGTGCTGTGTTGCTTCTGTGTGTGTGAAAGAATAAACAATAAAGAATACATGAAGGGAGCCCAGCACACGCGTTGGGTTGTCCTATAACGTACAAACGGCACGGTTAGAGCCTTAGAGGCTTGCACGTCCGCGTGCTGCAACTCAGAAGATTTAAATACCTGGATTGAGTCTTCGTTGGTAAACGTAAGCATATTGTTCAAGAATAATAACATGACTCTAATGTTTTTTGGCAATTTTTTTGTGCAAATAATGCATAGCAATTGAAACACAGTATCGCGAATTTTAAAATAACGAAATGTGAGAAATTTTCATAAATTTACAGATAGTAATTAATCCATGAGCTTCATACACTGAAAACATGATTGCAAAGATAGGAGACGCCGTAAAATAAATTTATTATGATTTATTGTTAAACTTCAAGTTTAATCGGTTCTAATAATTTTGCATAACTAATTCATTGCAAGAATTCGGAAATTTTTACTTATTCTTGAATAAAAAATAATAATAACCCTAAGGACCATCAACCCAGGCACGAAAAAATTTTTAAACCACCAATAATCATTTCTCGTTTCTTTCATTTCCTTGCGCGTAATCAATTAGTTACCAAATACGGAAGTAAAACATTGACTAAACAATGAAGCCTGAGAGCGAGGCACCAAGCGCAACGAACGACAAGTTAAAAGCGCAAAAGCAGCCAAGGTGACGGAAGTGGACAGCCATCTGCATGTTTGTTGTCATGACTGAACATGAAACAGTGACGAGGCTTCCGCAACGCAGAGGAAGAGAAGGTTAAAGAGAGATTATTGCGCGTTTGCCAAGCCTTTCATAGTTCATACCTGTTTTAAGAATGAATACTTGACTTCTCACGATATTTATCAAATGAAGGATATTTTTTAGTTCTCATATGCTCGCGAAAATTCATCCAGTTGAAAAGTTCTTCTTTTGTCCGTTTCTGAGGACTTGGTTCTTCACCACTCGCCTCACGTCCGGACAGGCAGTTGAAAAGTTATTCTAGAAAATTTCGCAGTCTGTGCGTCGTTTCAAAGAACTCGCCAAATATTAATAATTCGACGATAGAGAAATTTTTGAATAATCTGCATCTTGTTCTGCAATATTCTTTGTGGCCTTTCTTGTGTGGATCAAAAACTTGGCATCAGTCACGTTTTTGATGCGCTGTCGGAACCTGGGACTTCTTTTGCTGGTCTAATCTACTTGCTACATAGATTTTTACTAAGCCAAATTTGCAGATATAATCAAATACGCTGTGGGAGAGCTTTCTCCAAAAGTCCTACGAGTTGCGTAATACGTACCAAGGTTTAAATATTTTGGACTTGTAGATTAATTTCAGCACACACTTCCCTAAAGTGTGTGCTGAATTTAAATTCGGAGTGCATAATTGAATAGGACTTTGAGGAGAACAGTGTCCGAAATCAAATAAGAAATAAACAGCCTCCTAGCAGTCATAATGAGTTATTCACATACTCCGAGCCCTGCTGCGACCTTAATATTTTTGTGATTGGCAAATTTATTAATAGATAAATACGTATGCATTTCTGCAAATAATAAATCTAAACCTCTTCATACAGGCAATGTTTTCTTGCGAACTCAAAGTTAAACTATTAACTTGTTCTTTGTTTGAGAGCAGTTTGCACCGGCAACTCAAAGGCAGTATTCCATAAGCAACATACAATCACTTTCCTAACACTTTCCATATTCATACATCTATGACTCATCATTCATCTATGACTCATCATTCATCTTTGACTCATCATTCATCTATGACTCATCATTCATCTATGCCTCATCATTCATCTATGACTCATCTTTTTACGTCCGTACATTATATACAGTGGAGTCTACTCAAGCTACATAAAGTAATTTGACCATTTATCGCATAGTACATATGGAGGCGGCAGATAATAACATGCATCACAACTCCTCCAAGATTAGTAAGATTAACAAGTGTAAGGCCGGCAACTCACCTTGAGACAAGAAGCAGGCGTAGTGCTGGCCGATCTCGAGGAGCTGCAGCAGCGCGGACTGTGCCTGCGTCAGCAAGTCCGTGCCTGTCGCGGGAGGGAAGCTGCACGAAGCGAAGGGGTCGACGAAGAGCGAACACCGTTCGTTGCGCGAGTAGAGCGAGAAGAGCAACGCTCCGAACTGCGGGTCGAGCGTGTAGTAGATCATGGCGGCGGTCTCGCGAGCAGGAGGCTTGAGGGCCGAAGAGCTCAGCAGAGTGTCCACGGAACCTCTAATGACGGAACTAGCCAAGTCGAGGTAGATGGTCGGCGAGTGGGCCTTCCTGCTGCCGGGTAACTGCCACGACGCCACGCTGAGCATTAGGGACAGATGGAGAGATGGTCACCATCTGACGACCAACGCCCGCACTTTCCTACCTTGCTGCGTCATTGTCAGCATTTATTACTCTTTCATAAAACATCACATGACATCAGGAGATATGCACCACACATGTGACCGTTTTGCCACTCGATAATGATAAAGGAAAATCACGTTCTAAGGGTTAGTTTTTTAACACCGTGAGTCCAATTGCCGCTAACATGAATCAAATGTTAGTTGAAACATTCAGCAAATTATTTTAGGAGGAAGAACTAGCAAGCCTGATATTATTTTAAGCGTGGCTAGCCTAAAACCCGAGTGAATTGTTCATTTAAAATAAGAAGGAGAAAGCCACGAGCGGCACCAGGTAGAAGCACCAATCGGCCCGAGCGTCGGAGAGGCATAGACCTTGCAGCATTGCTGCGGCCGATCAATGACGCACTTTGTGATACGGACTGCGGGATTTGCTGTGTCTATCTATGAATTTCCTGTGAGATACAAGTAAAAAGAAGGTACAAGTCAGATATTGATTGCTTGAAGGGAAAAAGTGACGCACATCCGCATAGTTAGTGTATATGTAGCCGCTTAAGCAATTGCAGAGCACATTTGCGTGGCTCGGCTATGATATATGACCGATTTGTGTAATATTGTCTATGTTATACATTTATGCATAATGTAGCATATCAATAATAATTTACGTTGAGAATAAATGCCCTGGAGTTATGACGTTAGTTAGCGACGGAAATGATTAGGGCTAGAAGTGAGTAATACGAAAACAAGCATTTCAAAATGTCCAGAGATTAAAAACGATCCAAAATGAGTGAACTCGCGCTGAAATTTGGTTTATTCCATCGAACAATGAGAACTGCCAGTCTGCCGCCATCCATACATTTTGGAGACCACTTCAAATGTCACTGAACGCCCGTTGCCAAATATAAGAATAATTTATTATTATTTTACTGAATAATCATTTCCACACTCACAACGTGCTACGAGTATATAAAAGAATCCGCGCAGCATGTAGCAGCCTTGGATTTTTTGATGCCGTGCCACAATGTGATATCAAATATCATTCGCGAAGCATGTTGCGTCCCGATATTTTTGATATCGTTTGATATATTTTACTTAAGGAACGCCAACAGCGAAGAAAGTAAATAAATGCTCTATTTTCATCGCCTCAAAACTCAATGAATGTTCGTTTTCGGTATCTAATGATCGTGTGTGTGTGTCTCTAAAATGCTCACTCACTCATCAATAAAAATATTCAACAACATTCAATTCAACATCATCATTCAATAATTGTTGTTTTGTAAACAAACCCCAAAGTCAATCCATGACATTTGATTCGAACCCTAACGTCAGATAGTGACTGATAGTGTTTTGTTTAACTAGACTGGATGCCTGTCGTGGGTGTAATACAAGTCAAAGAAAATTTGTCATCGTTATAAATTTAACTTTATTCTAAATGCAATTTTTAAGGATACTGCAAATCTCCTATAGAAGCTACCGGGTCCATCATTTGCAATTCGCAGTTTCATCTTTAATCAGTTCAGTATTTTTGTAAATGGTGTAGGTTTTTAACGTTGATTAAACAAGAGTCTGAGTTTAGTTATACAATCCGAATACTGTTATATAGGCTTAAGATAACAGTTTCACACGAATCAATCGATAATGTCAGCTAGCGATTCAGTTTCAACAAATTTTCGGCTGAAATCTCCCCATGATTATTCACCATAGTTCACCATAGACAAAAATTTGTGTGATTTGCAATAGGTACGTTTATCGAGGGCGCTTACTAAGGCCTGCCAGTCCGTGACAGGTGACACGGCGACATTAAATAGCTAACTATATCACACTGTTATGCGTTGGGTAAGAAACTAGGAAGCTTCAACAAATAAGCAACCAAAATTACGAATACACACGAAAAAATCATCTTATAACTCAGTCAGTTAGCACCCAAAACTTCACGGATCAATAATAAAGAGAGACCACTCACGAGTCTTCGGACTGCACCGCCATGTTGGTTACAATGCACTTGTCCCCTCTTGAAAGTCACACCCATAATATTGATTCCTTCACGTCATTTCAACATCTCCACTTAATCGGTCACTTCTCATCAACAATCATCAAGTAAAGCACGAGAACGCATCAGACGGTCACATACAACCTCTCCAACCGGCCGCTCGCACGACTATGAGTTGAGTTCTCTGACTTCTCTCTTCTCTGGCAAGTGGAGACCACCAATGGCAATGTACGTCCGCTGCCAACTACTCTTTATTAATCAGATATGCACATGTAATCAATTGTTTAGGAACAATGGATGATAATCTCTTTGGAATGGACTATCAATTTTAAATATTATCTAGCCAAAATTGGATAAGCAGCATCCCCGTAAAGAATTAACAAAGAGCACCAGAACGAAGTGATCACCTTCAAGAAATCAGTGTTAACAATAATAAAATTTCGTGTTTTGCTGGAGGACGATTACAAGTAAATTGCAGGCTGTTACAAATTAAACTTACCAAACCCACGAATGAAATTATAAAATATATATAAACAAAGTAACCTCGTAAATATTTAATAGTCCGGCCCCTCAATATAGGAGCGATCGATTGCGATTTGCGACTCGTGAACGCGGGAAGCCTAAACTGTCTGTAGCCCTCGCCTCAAGACGTGCGAGGGAAGTTGCCTACTCTGAGGACACCAAGAGTGTAGAATAGAATAGAATAGAGGTGTCGGCACTGAAGAAATAAGCCCATGGCCTGTTGCCGATTCTTGAATTTTTTTGACTTGATTCACAAGGGATCCGGCCTTTGGAACCCGACCTTTCCATAACTGACGATTGATTGAGATAGCTGCTAGACTTATTGCCTGGTCCGTAATTTGCTAAGCATTTTAAGACTGAACATATGCTCCTGCATAGCTTCGTCTGGACTTATTGCCTGGGCCATAATTTGCTAGGCATTTTAAGACTGAACATATGCTCCTGCATAGCTTCGTCTAGTCGTTCATGAAGGCGTTCATACTCGGAGCGTCAACAATGCTATCAGGGAGGCTGTTCCACATGTCGGTGACTCGAAGCGAGAAGAAATGTTGCCGCATGGATGTGTTACAACTCAGTTTTTTTAGTTTATAGCCGTGGCCCCTGCTGTTGGTTCTTGTTTTAAATTCTAGTAATCCTTCTGGAACCTTGTATAAGACATGAGTATACTTGTATGCTTCAATGAGGTCCCCACGCAGACGTCGTTAACTGAGGCTTGGAAGCTTCAAAATCTTTAATCCTTCCTCACAGGACTTGCCTTTCAAGCCCGGAATTATCCTTATTGCACGTCTTTGAACACTCTCTATTAAATTTTTGTCCTTTTCAAGTTTCGGTGACCACACGACATTTCCAAACTCTAGGTTCGGGCGCACGACAGCAACAAACAACTGCTTCATCGCTTCTGCATCTAGGAACTCGAAAGAGCGTCTGATCAGTCCAAGTCGTTTATTGGCTTTATTAACTTGACCTTCAATATGCTTAGAAAATTTCAACTCATTGTCGACATTAACTCCTAAATCTTTTTCCATTGTCGACTTCGACATCATCACTCTGTCGTTGCAACCGTGTCTTCTCAGTTCTCACACTGTAATCTTGCTGTTCATTATTCATGCCAAGGTGGATTACTTTACATTTGGTAGATTACTTTACATGCAGGTAGCCATGAATAAAAAATAATCCAGTGTCTATATGTATAAATTCTTATGTTAAATAGAGTGTAAATTCAAAATCATTTCTTCTTTTGCTACTTATGAACAAGTTTTTTTGTATTTATATTTTTTGTCCGTCTTGGTCAGGCACTGACAATCCATGGTTGAACTATATAAGGTTGACCCACGAGAAGTTCCGCTTTTCAGTTCAGCTTTCTTGTTACGTCACGTAGATCGAGAAACGTAAACAAACCCGTCATTCCCATGACGGATTGGTTGACTGGTTTGAACGCATTTCGGTGATTGGTTAATGCCCGTGACGTCATTAAGATCAGTGACGTCATAGGCGAAAAACAAGCACCATCCGCGAAAATGAGCTTCTCATGGGTCAACCTTATACTAGTTCAACCATGCTGACAATCCGCAATGACTACTCGAACGGGTATCCATAATACCCATTATTATACTATTAATGTTATTATCAGATACAATAACAGTATTATTACTTAGTATTATCACAAAATTAGAAGTAAAAGCAATATTTCCTAACGTCACGGCACCATAACCGCGTAGAAGCCAGTGTTCATAAAAAAATCTATACAATTTTTTCTTAGGTAACTAGTTCTTGGTCAAGTCTTAACTCGGAGCTGCGGTGCAAGTAAAACACTTACGCAAGAAGCACGGAACCTGTGAACTCCGTACCGTACGCGCCTCGTTGCTGGATCACATCTCAGCTTTACGGACCCTGACCTAAATGATGCCGCTCCATAGGCCTCCTCAGCCTTTTAGGGGAGTTTACACTGCGATGCAGAAACTTCAGAAAGAAGAATTGATTTCTTTTTCGATTTTGAAGAATTAATATAAATGGAAAACTAAGTTTTGTCTTTGACTTAGATAAAAAATATTTGACTTCGGGTAACATTGGAGTCAGTACCGGTTTCTAGAAAAGGGTTGCATGAGTGTCGAATTCAACTATGGTGCATACAATTGTACAACCATGTGTTCCTTTCTCTAACAATAAGACGTCTACAATTATTTCATCTGAAAATAAGAGAACTCTCACAAATATTGTAACTGACAGTCTTGCTTAGAGTTATGACTCGAAGAGAGCTCGCTAAATATTTTAGCTAACAAAAATAAAATCAGACTGAGCTGTGGGAGTGAGCCGTGTTCATCTCACGTGACTCGAGGTAGTTTGTGTGTTGCTGCCAAGCACGAGCTCTGCTTACAAACGAACAAACAAACAGCATTTAACGACATACATAGACATGCAAAGCCAGCGTATTTAGATTTGATTCCTTATATACGACAAGGAAGTAAGGTTGCCGAAAGTGTTAACAGAAAATATAATAAAAAATTTTGACTTCTCTTGCACGACTGCTTCTATAGTAGCTTCTATATAATACATTATCCAGAAAATTCCGGATCTAGTTAATAATTTCTAAACTAACGTAATCCATTTTAGCAACGCCCCTTGGCAACTGACATTTGGTACTCCCATTTAACTCTCAATTTGAACTTTGTTGGAAACTTCAGCTCTTTAATATTGAAAAAATGCACTCTTTCCAATCAAAATTTACATTTCAATTTTATCACTTTCCCTCCCACTCCCCATATTGGATTCCCCTAGAATTTTCAAACTAAGCATAAAAGTTCAGGTCCAGGTAATATTCAGATACAGCGCCAGGATTCGAACCCACAAACATTTTCAAGAATGTTATATCCCATTGCTGCGGTTCCGATTCATATAAGGTAATTGTAATACGCAAAATTTCATTTTTTTTAATATCTCAACTATTTTATGTGAGGGTGATGATAAATTCCTGTGATTTGATTGATGATTTTGAGAACTAAAATTTGAAGATGATATAAAATTAAAATTATTATTTTAACTAGCACATATGCGCTCGGATTTTCAGAACATGAGCTTATACTGAGCTGTAAATTTATCACTTGACCGTGAAAATAAAGTTCATGGCAATTACATATTTGGAAGAAAACGTTAAGAACAGATCGATGCTTCCTACTTAACATCGACTTTCTTTACACAAAGTAAATTCCGGACGTGACCTAATACTATGGCATGAGGTGTTAAGCACAAAATATAATACCCGATTCAATACCAGAATGAGGATCGCACAAGAACTAGACTAAGGGATCACTGTGACGTCACAGTGACATGAATAAACAGAAGGCTTGCCAGCAAGCCTAGACTGCTAATTCTGAGGGGTGGAATAATGCTTTAGGGGACCATCAAACTTTTCTCGGTCTTGCTCGTTTTCTGATTTGACCGCGCCGAATTATTTCAAGATGGACATTTGTACTTTTTTATTTTTTAATGATACTTTCGAAAAAATTCGAACGCCAAGTAATTGGACATTAATTCGAAATTACAATAACGTATGTGGTATGTAAAGGCGAAAAACATTCTGTTCAATTCTACAAAATATATAAATTTAATATTTACAAAAAGTACATATGTGTTGAGTTCCACTTGAGATGCCAGCAGAGTAAGTTTATAAATAAAAATTTATCGAATCGCATTGTGAAGTTATAATTTTTGTAATAATAACCAGCTGTTATGACTACAATAATTTGCCTTGATGAACAATATGGGACCTAATATCTATATCATTAGTTGCGCATTGTGATTTAGTTTTTCGGCTGGGCCGATCTACCACAAACGACTGCATTCAAATTGACCTAGCGTGCTCCTTCCTACCTGCAAGTGTAGGATGCGCGTCCCTAGTGGAGACGGAATACGACAGTCCTTGCTGCAGTCGTCCTTCGTTCAGGAGGTGAATCAAGAACTCCACTTGCGACAATTGCGGCGTCGGGGCTCCGAGACACATTTTAGCAACTCAACTCTCGTCAACACTATAAGCACATGGGATCTGTCTGATGTTCACAACATGTTACTGCTGCAGGGATACTGCTTATTTTGGTATCGAGAGGTCGAAATGAATGTGCAGGAGCTCATAGTTGTAGAGTTGGGTTCGAGTAGAAGTTACTAGGAAGAAATGCGTCTTCCTGAACTAGCTTCTTGCGTATGTCGCATTTCGGGGCAAGCACCGTCGCAGAAACGTACATCGAAAGCCACTCTAAAATGGCTGGAACCGAGTTCAATCACGCTTTTCGTTATATCCGTCGAATTGTTCAACACCCAATCACTGTTCATAGTTAATTTTCACCGCATTCTGACAACGTTGTAGGTAAAATTTATTATACTAATAATAAAATTCGTAGTTCGATTAGGTTCAGAAACACTGCGTTGAAGGTAGGAGCTACAGGTGCGGGATGTGCCCTGGAGCTGCCTCCCTCACGGCACTGTGGGCAACCGCCGGTCTCAGCTCTCAGCTCTGTTTTTATAAAGCCTATTCTTTCAACACTGACAGGGAACGCTTGTGCTCCTTGCTTGTTTTTTTTTTCTCAGTTGACTCGTGATGAGGCAGGTGCTTGTATAATAATATTCTTTAGCTTTGAA